TCTCTCTCTCTCTCTCTCTCTCTCTCTCTCTCTCTCTCTCTCTCTCTCACACACACACACACACACACACACACACTCTCTGGCATAAACTTTCAGCTGAGTTTTGTTTCTTTTTCCAGTAGAATTTAGGAAAATGAAGCCACAGAGGAAAATTTTGTGCTCAACAGAAATACCACACCCTAAAATACTGGACAAATGGAGCACCCTATGGAAACATACACCCTTCCATTTTGTTCATGCAATGCCTGGAAACTGCTTCCGAAACGGTCTGTTCAGCTCATAAACCACTCTCTAGTTTATAGACAATTGCATAGACTGAAGGGTTATTGCAGGAAAATGTTTAACCCTCTGCTGTGATTTCGCACCCTTCTCTCAGGCGGTATATTTACTCTTGTTCAATTTCACCCCCACTCCCACCCACCCCCACACAACACATCGCTGTTCTAATCACTCTAGCACAACACTCACTTCCAAGTTCTAAATAAAGCCCCGCTGAAAGCCTGACTTTTAGTTCAGTGATGCCCGGACATTTGTCTTGGTTGGTTTTCACTGTGTATTCTCCCTGCCCACCCACACCTGCACCAGCACCAGCTCCCAGTGGACTTCTATGAGGACAGGTCAGAAACCCGAGTTTTCATTAGATAACTGTCCACAGTTAACCCTAAGGATTATCAACTCGAAGGTCAGGTACCCAGCAGGGCTGCCAGAGTAAACTAGAGTTCATGAGAAAGTAGATTAGTGAGCTCCACCCCACCCCCAAGGTCAGTCACCCTAACTGGATGATATGAAGGACCTGGGGTCCTGTGATAAGAGGACAGTGTTGACCCCTAGGTCAAAGGGGGAAAGAGGAGAATTAGCGACATCTGGCAAGTGCCAAAGTCACAGACGAGGACTGTTAGCCAGGAGCAGAGGCCAAAATGGGAGAGAATTGACATTCAAATTATCCACCAGTAAAAGCCAAATCTACTCCATGAAAACTGACTGGGTCTCCTTCCAACGAAGGGAAATAAGATTGTGTTTTCAGAATTCGCCACAACCTCTCCTTCCACCTCACAAGAACCTCAGATCAACATAATGAAACAGCTATTTTCCTCATAACCGTAAACACCAACAGTGTGTTTCCTCTTAACTCTGATCAGCAAAACACAACTGTTACTAGGCTGAGTTCAGGCTGCCCAGCCAAAAGCAGCTTGCTCTCTTTATTACCCTGGGAAGTGTTAGCATGAAGAACACACAGGCTTGCTTAATATCTAAATTAGTTCACAGCCCCTCTTTTCTCAAAGCAGCCCAGCATACTCACTCTCAGTGGCCAAGAACCGATGGAGGAAGTGTTAAGATGTGATGAGCTGCATTCTACAGGGAAATCAGAGCAAATGTAAGATTGGCAACTGCTTACACTACCTTTCCACCTATAATACTATTATGCATCTGTATATGAATAAGTTTGGAATTTTGAGGAGGCAGATGACCAGGATGAAAGGTTCCATTTTCTCACCAAGGACACACACGACAGATGCAGCACTCCTGGGACCCTTACCTAGCAGGCATTGGGTTTCCCATCATCTCAGATCACACCCCACAGTGCATTGTGTAGCTTTGTTCTGTTTCTCTAGCTCCCAGTTTCTTTCTCTGAAAAGTGGAAACGAACAATCTTGCTCTTTGACAAACAGGGTTGGAGCCTAACATACTGTTGGGGTGGGGTACGTGCCTGTGTGTGCCTGTGGGCCTCAGAGTGGGATGTTTTCCTCTCTCATTCATCACCTTTGTTTTTGACACAGGATCTCTCTCTGAACCTAAAGGTTACTGTTTTGTCAGCCAGCAAACTCCTAGGATCTGCCTTTTTCTCCTCCCAGTGCCGGGGTTAGAGGCAAATGCAGCCACGCCTAGCTTTTCGGTGATGGCTGAGAATTTGAAGTTGGGTCTCCTTGCTTTCACAGCAAGCACCCCTATCCATGAAAACATCTTCTTAGCTGCAGAACTTGACATAATTTATGGCAATCACTTTGAGTGTTAATTTTGGGATAAGTATTTTATATGACACATTTCAGGTTCGGAGACCACACAAGGCTGGCTGTGCTCAGTTCTCAAAGGTTTATAGCTTTTACAGGCTCCATGTGAGTTAACATTGACATTGAGGTCTGTTTTAGATCTAGTACTGGCTGGTTTTTTTTCCCTCTTGAACCTCATATCTACAATCTGTCTTAGAGAAAGCCAAGAACAAAGTGCTTTGTATCACTAACCATTAATCCTTAAAGTGCAGAGAACCCTGTGAATGATTAGCTCAGTTTTCAGCTACCAAAGACTTAAAAATACAAGACAAATCACCACTACATACTTTGTTCCCTTTCAGCAAGTATTCCCAAACTGAGAGTCTGGGCCTCAGTTAGGAATCTTTTGCAGGAAACCATGAGTTCTCTCGGGGGAAGTGAGTGGATATAAGATTTAAGATGCCCTTGCCAGCCTATTTATGCTTTTCTGGAAGAAAGTCACACTTCAGTTAAGGAGTGGTAAAAGAAATATTTGAAAGTGGCCCAGTGTTCTCAATTAACTCGGGGCTCACCTTTGCCTTGGTCACAATGGAGCGAAACTGTTGGTATGGGGGTGGGGGGAGGGGATGGGGCATGGCTGTCTTGGCCCTTGGACCTCGGTTACTTAACCACACACTGAAAGGGACTGTAGTAGAAGTCTGAAGAGGATTTTCACCCCCTTGGAGCTTTGTGTACAGCAAGAGAACTTGCCTTCTTCTCCCAGCTGGAATGTGGGTTTGCCTAAGAAAGGAGACATTTCTTATGACCAGAAATTGGGACCCATGAAGGCAATGCCTTTTCTGAAATGTGGGGCATGTGCTTGCAGCTTGAGGGGTTCCTTCTGTGTGAATCCTAAATGTCCACCGGTGCTTCACTGTAGCATCCGGGAGAGAGAACTGACCGCTGTGTAGACTCAGTGCTACTACTGATCATCCATCCGAATAGGGGTGGGGGTGGGGCTTCTCAGGGAGTCCTGGTGCCTGCCACAGGGTAAGGGACAGTTGGCCCTCATGGCGGGAGCTCTGAAAATAAGAGTCTACTTCTGGGAGAGGCTGGCTGCTCCAGCCTCCACCCACAGTATGTCCAGCTGCTGCATCCTTACCAACTCAAGCCAAGTTAGAAATGTCCCAGGAGTGCCCTGTTCTTATTATTGTTTTGCTTTGCTTTGTTTCTGTTGTTTTCTGTTTGTTTTTGTCTGTTTGCTTGCTCTGGTTTCCTGAGACAACATCTTATTTTGTGGCTCTGGCTAGCCTAGAACTTGCTATGTAGCTCAAATTGGCTTCAAATTCATGGCAATCCTCCTGCCTCAGCCTCCCTGCTATTGGGGTTATAGGCATGTATCTCTATTGGGGTTATAGGCATGTATCTCTATGACTGGTACTATGGTAGTCCATGGAGTACCCAGATCCCAAGGTGGCCCTTTTGGAAGGATAAATATCTCACTATGTCTTATTTCTGTTCGTGGAAAATTTGCTATGTTCGGAATGTTTGTTTCCCCCTTAAAATTTATACATTGAAACCTTAATCTACTGAATGTTTAATAGGGTTATTAATGAGTAACTGAAAGGTGACCACAAACGTGGACCTAGCCCCAGAGAGATTGCCAAGAAAAGAAATTCCTTTGCCTTTGCCTCATATTTTAGTATTTGTGTTTAATTTTCTTTTCTTTCTTTCTTTCTTTCTTTCTTTCTTTCTTTCTTTCTTTCTTTCTTTCTTTCTTTCTTTCTTTCTTTTTTCTTTTGAGACAGGGTTTCTCTCTGTAGCTTTGCACCTTTCCTGGAACTCACTCTGTAGACCAGGCTGGCCTCAAGCTCAGAGATCCACCTGCCTCTGCCTCCCGAGTGCTGGGATTAAAGGCTTGTGCCACCAAATGAACATTTCAAACATTCTGATTGATTAATTCATTTAGCTCAAATAACTTAAGGCTTATCGGAAGTGTTGATGTTGGTATGAAAGTGTCACAAGGATTTCTCTTGTGTTGTCAGTGAAGGTCGACTAAAATGTACTAAAAAATGACAATCACACTGGCCACAGTAAAGGCTACTGCCTATCTTAAGAGGTAGGGAGATGTAGCCTTAGGGAGATGATTGTCCCATGAAGATGGGCACTCCTGAACGGGTTTAGTGACCTCATGAAGAAGTCTGAGGAACCTACTCACCTCTTCTAGCATACAAAAGTGCCTGTGTACAACCATGAAGAGACCTTTCACTGTGAGCATGCTCACCTCCTGATCCACAACTTCCCAGACCCTAGGGTATGAGAAACCACTTTCCATTGTCTAAGAACTACCTGCCAATAACCGTGTTTTGTTATAGAAGCCCAAACAGACAGTGTTCCCAATTGTTCTACATAGGTGCTGTAACCTGGACAACATATACTGAGAGGAGAAAGCTCTCAGGTGTGTCTGGACATTTCCCTTTCCCATCACACTTCTAGAGTTAAAACAGGGGACTCAGACCATCCTGAAACCTCGGAATCTCACTAGGTCTTGCCATACCCTTGGCTGCCAGGCCCATGGACTCACCCAGTGTCTCATACTTAAGAGCTTGGCAGCTCCTTGGCAAAGAATCCTCTCATAGGTGGTGGTCCAGAGTGTAATCTTTTTGCCTAGAATTGTACCAGCTCGGAGCTGAGCTTCCAGAATCAACACTTTCCATGCTTCTGGGAACATAGAATGAGCAGGACACTGGTTGCATTTAAAGATCTCGAGAAGGAAAAGGGAGGCCAAAGTCACAATGCTCTTCTCTTTGGGTAAATATTTACAGTTCTGTGCGCCATCACCTTGCTTGGTAGTAGATCGGAAAGGATGACTCAGCTCCTGGTGACACCAGAGGACTCTCACACTGTCTCGTGGTGAAGCCACGCAATAGTTCCCGAGAGGCTAAAGGATAACTTGAGAGCAGCATTCGGAGGGTGTGAGGAGCAGAGCTCCATGATGAAAGGTGCTTTCTTCCTCAGTTACGAGCTTTCATGGCTCTGTGACTCTCACGGTGGCACCTTTGATTTTGGCACAGGCCCACTTCAGATTGACAAGAGGATGAGATCAGTGAGCCTAATGAAAGTCTGTTGTGAAGAGCAGAAGAGGAAGTCAGTGATGTCCTAATGAGGCCTCACTGTCTTTGTCAGTATTTGAAGGGACCAAGCGGTTGCCATGACAGGCTGCTCAGTCTTCTCTCAGAGATCAGGCCTCAGTTTCAGTTTCCTGAGGCTTGAGCAAGCAGTTTCTGGGAGGGCCATGAACAAAAGTCATAGTCCTTGCAGTAGCTCCCTTTCTGCACATACTCTGACTGCTCAAGGTTCAACCAGTTGTTTACTGTCTGGGACCTCACCCTCACCAACTTAGAGATATGTGCATGAGTCAAGGACAGAGCCTAGACCACTGAGTCAGCCCCCACAGTCAGCACATGCTAGGCCCGCCAGCCAGAATGGCAGGTCAAAGTCAATGCCTAGGACTTGTCCAGGCCTGCCCAAAAATGGTAACTGTAATTCCCAACTAACCCTAGCCAATTAAAAGTTACTAACCTGATTGCCACTCACATAATCCAATCCCAAGTCTGTTCCTATGTAGTCTGTAGACCCCAATCCCCCCTTTGCTTTAAAAACCCTCCCCCATCGCTAATCTGGGTCTCTCCTGCTCTGCTGCTGCATCAGTCGGACGGAGAGTCCCGAGTTAACTCATAATACAAAAAAGACTCCTTGCTTTTGCATGGGATTCGGTCTCTTGGTGGTCTTTGGGGGACTCTGGGTACAACAGTATTAACTGTGTACACGTGCGGAGCGGAGCAGTGATCTGATACTTGTGTACAGCGTGTAAGGATGGAATGAAGGCGGGTACCGTTTTCATTCATCAAAGTGTGTTTTCACCGAGGAGGATAGCTTCACACTTCCTTTACACAAAACAACTCCCTGTGTGATCAGTTTGTGTGAAAGGGAGGTCCTTTGTCACTTTATCTCTGCATCTATCAACACTTCCACCACATTCCAGTGGCCAGCCTTCTCTGTCCCATCATGTCCACAGGAAATGTGGTATATGCCTAGCTGAAAGAAAGTGCCCGAAGTCTTCAATCTAAAAACAGAGCAAACCAAATGAAGCTGAAATCTGTGATGGAAAACAATGACTAATAATATAGTATGAATAATAATACATATGGTGAGCAGGTGTCAACCTGCAAAAGAAAACATTTTGGAGTTAGAAGCACAGAGCTAGAAATGACCTCAAATGTATTCAAACTCAACCTTATTTACAGATGAGGTGGGTGCAGGGATCGGTGGAAGACTGGCGGGGTTCAAAGCAGACCCATGGCTGCTTCTGAAGGCAGTTCCTTCTGAGCCTTGAACGCTCGCTTTCCAGAAGCCAATGTGTCTTGTCCTTGTCGAGCTTTGGAACAGACGGAACTGTCCTCAGCTTGTGAAAAGGACAGAGAACAGTGTGTGCTCTGCAGCTCCCCAAATAATTCTCATCCCTGCTTAGGAGCCCCCCAGCAGCCATCCATTGAGACGACCCCTCCCACCTGGTGCTGGGCTTCACCCCGCTGTGGTCTGCCAAAGTGTTGTGTAATTTCTGCTAGAGCACATCCAAGTCAGATAAATCACAGTCCTCCCCGTAATTATGCTCAGCAGCTGAGAGAATAAGCAAAGGACTCAAGTGGACACAAATGCGAAGGTGAGGTGGAAATGCACCAAGCCAATGAAGAACGATCAATACCACTTCAACAGAGAAAGCCAGTTCCCCAGGCTTGGACACTGATCATCGCGTTAGACCCAACGGCCTCTTTCTAGGCCCTAGCTCTCCTAGCTGCCTCCCTCACAGGCTGCGAGATGGGTCTGATGGCCCCACATCAGCCTTGGTTTGCAGGCCGAAGGTAACTGTCTATATTGTCCCTGAGCTTCTTTCTACGCAAAACAAACAGCCTGGTTTCTGTGATCTGTCTGTCAGTTACGTATCTTCAGTTATGTTTACACTCCTCTTTTCCCCACAGGGATTACAAGTACACACACAGTTCCTCTTGGCACAGCCCTCTACTCATGCTTTTGCCTTTCTTTCTTATATTTAATTTGAGATAGTTTCTAGCTTTCTTTTTCCTTCAAAATAATTTTTTCTCTTCTGCAACATCTAGTCTGCTATTTATTCTACTGAGAGTATTTTTATCTACATGTCTAGAAGTTCAACTCAGATACTTTTTTCTCATGATAGTAAAACATCATAAAAATCACCACTTTAATCATTTGGGGTATGGTATTCAGTAATGCTGCCTTTACTTAGATTATTAAGACACACCTCCACAAATCTTTATCTTGCAAGACTGAAGCAGCGCATTTTTAGAGATTATTATATAATTACATCATTTCCTCTTCCTCCTTCCTCACTCTCTTTCAAGTTCAGGGTCTCACTTTTCATTAATTGCTGTTCTATACATAAATGTGCATACATATACCTTCCTAAAGCAACCTGCTCGGTCTGTATCATGTTACTTCTCCGAATATGTTTTCAGAGCTGGCCATTTGGTATTGGATAACCTACCAATGTGCTCTTCCCTGGAAAAGACTGTTTCTCCCACTCTCAGAATTCCTTAGTTGCCTGTAGCTTTTTGTGTAGAGTTGAGGTCTCACGGGCTTTTCCCCTGCCCACTTTACCATGTCTACTGTTATTCTTGTTCAGCTCGTGGTTAGGGGTCATGGTGAGACTTTGTGGGTGTAGCTTCTGACATTATACTAGGAGACACAGTCTCAGCACACTTCCTTGTCCTCTGGCTCTTACAGTCCCTCGTCCACGATGCTCCCTGAGCCAGAGGTTCGGGGAGTTGTGTTTAATTAGATCATTTGGGGTGGGCTCCACAGCTCTGCATTTTAATTATAGAAACTGTCAATGACAGCTGAGATCTGGAAGTAATTTCTCTTCATCAGAGGTTCCTTTTCATTGTACTGACTTTGTCCTTGAATAAGCAAAAATGTGTTTCTCATGTGTCTCTTGTTGCTTTTATCTCCCATGAGTTTGATGTTAGAGTCAAGAAATGATGACTCAAAGGGAGAGGCATTACCTACAAGCCTGATGACCTGGCTTTGATCTGTGGAACCCTACATGATGGAAGAGAACTGACTCCTGCAAGATGTCCTCTGACCTTCATATTCATGCTGTGGCATGTGCCTACACACACACACACACACACACACAGAGAGAGAGAGAGAGAGAGAGAGAGAGAGAGAGAGAGAGAGAGAGAGAGAGAAAGCTATAAAAAAAGTGAAAAAATACAAAAAATAATTGCCAAATCTAACAAAAGCTTTGACCTATCTTTTCTGCCTAGAGTTTCATAATTTAAAGTTTTTTTTCTACTTTACTCCACATTGGGTTTTCTTTTATATAACTATGATGAGGTCCAGGTTCGTTCTTATTCATGTGATACACAGCATCTCTGATCACGCTGAAGAAGCGTTTGGTTTACCTCCCACTGAGTGGTCTTGGATACTGAATAGTGGGAACAGTGGGTTGATGCTCAACCCAATCTTCCCAATGTGAGATCACCCCAGAGACTGTCTGCCTTTAAGGCTTTATGGCCACTCTCTAGAGAGAGAAGTTCTGATAAGTTTGAAAGAAAACATAAAAATAAAAGGTCACAGGAGCCTTGAGCGCTGCAAACATTAAGTAGAAGGACAAGGCAGCCACTAACAGCATGCCTGCTGCATGGCTACTTCCTCTGAACTGGAACATTCCATGTAGAGTCGGGAAGTTGCCTCTGTGGGTAAAAGTGCTTGCCATTCAAACTGAATCACTGAATTTGATCCCAGACCCCTAGGCTGGAAGGAAGGCGAGAGCTCACCTCCACATGTGCCCCATGGCATGTGTGCCACTCACACGCCACACTTGGGCACTCTCATGCATGCACATACACAATGATAACAAAGTAAGTGTTAAAAAGACTTGAGGTAACTAAACAAATGAAGCTCCAAAGGTTGTAAGGTTCACATTACACTGAAGTAGCAACTCACTGCCCGTTGATCTTTGTGTCTCACTTTTCTGTGTGTCGTTATTGTTATGACGAGCAGTTGCCGAGGGAGAGGCGGCCTCCCCCTGCTGTGTGTCTGGGCATCCTTGCTGAAGGTTCGTTGATCATGAATGTGTGTGTTGACTTCTATGATATCTATTCTGTTCCATTTGTCCTTACATCTAGTTTCATACAGTTGCCTACTGGTATTTCTGTGTGTGTACTTGGATGTGTAGGCACATATATGCATGGACGCTGTGTGTGTGCAACCTCAGGTGCCTGTCTTCAGGACTGTCCACCTTTTTCTTGTTGGGGGGCATGTTTTGCTTTTGATAAGGTCTCACACTAGTCTGGGTCTTGCCAAGTAAGCTAGCCTGTCTGATCCACACTTCCCAGTGACCCGCCCATCTCCGCCTCTCTAGCATACTCAGTTATTGTTGTTTTTTAATGTGGGTTCTGGAGACCAACTACATTGATGAGTCATCTCCCCACCTACATCTGTTTTGATATCTGTAGCTTTGGAATACATTTTGGAATCAGGAAATGTGACATCTCCAACTTTGTTCTTTCTTAAGACTGCTTTGGCTATTCAGTGCTACAAAGTCCAGGGTATGCTGTAGGATTTTTTTTTTCTTTATCTGTGAAACATTACCTTGGAATCGTGATATGATTTCATGGAATCTGCAGACTGCTTTGTTGCTATAAATATTTTTACTTCATCCTCCTGGCACAGTCATATAGCTCATGTTTCCTTACAGGAACAGGTGTGATGAATAATTTTACCTTGTGTTGTTAAATAAAGTATATCAAGGATTGGGCACCCAACGACTGTTAAACAGTTAAGAGAGGTAAACAGCAGTGAGCTAGAATATCACACATTTTATTTGTTCATAAGGATAGCAAGAAGTTTATGCTTTATCTCCTGAGCCTGGTGGAATGATACTGCTGAACGGCACTATAGACCTGTCTAACGTGCCCTGAGAACATGAGACAAGGACAAAAGCACTCTTTTCCTCTCTTCCTGGGGAGAATTTGGGGTGTCCCAATAATTATTCCAAACCAGAGCCTTTCCATAGCACCATACTGAGCAAGCAGCAATTGGGGCTCTGAGTCTCAGTTCTGGGGAACGTTGATAGAGAATGCCCATTTTCAGGGAGGGCTGGACAGAGTGTGGCAAAAGCTGGGCTCTCTGCACTGTAGGGGCAGCACTGGAGTTGATTAAACAATGTGATTTATAAGTTATGTATATAAAAAGGCGATTGAACCCATCTTACCACTGGGCATGTGTATCTTGGTGTGTCCTCTCCTGTTAAGTTTTAGTTTTTCCTACGTCCTTAGCCTAAACATAGAGCTTATGATACTTTTTATTAAAGCTTTTTGTATGAATACAGGCAAAAGTACCTTGTGATCCCAGCTAAGTAGCTTTCTAAAAAGTTTGGTTTTTCATTGCTTCTCTTTGTGTGTGTGTGTGTGTGTGTGTGTGTGTGTGTGTGTGTGTGTGTGTGTGTGTGTGTGTGTGTGTGGTGCTAAATAAGTATTAATTGATGGAGCGCCCTCTCTTTTTGCTTTTGACCTTGGTCATTTTGTTTTGGCAAACCTCTCTCTCTCTCTCTCTCTCTCTCTCTCTCTCTCTCTCTCTCTCTCTCTCTCTCTC